TGGGAGCTTGCGACAACTGAGATGATAAGTGGCAATTACTTACGATATCCAAAGCTTTTTATTACGTTGATCCCACAAGTTTTGTAGTCCGTATAGAGGAACCAAGCTTGCTTTTGGTTATTGGGGTCTGCAAACGTTGAAGAAGGCCGATAATTCAAGCATTGCTGCACAGTAGGGTAATGAACACAATATAGGCAGAACCGCAGGTGGACTCGAGAAATGCGCGGACGCTAAAAGACGTTAAACCCCACATATCATTCAAAAGTTTCTTACTGTAGCTATGACGTCATCAAAATCGTTCTTATATCAAGTAGCTACTTCTAACGTGCTAAAAGGCACCTCTTCCTTCATTAGCCATCACCCATCTCTCCCGTTCAAATTTTTCAGGTCGAGCCACGGTATATTATATTTCTTGATAACAGTTGATTAGACGCAAGTTGCCCTAATAAGTAAAGGTTAACAAGTTAACGCATTCTTATGAGTGTTTATGTTCCCACTATTCTCAAGTCGACGAACTGCCAACCGTAGAAATGTGGGTTTGGGCGAAAGCCTAAGTTTGGCGTAGGTATATTCGGCTGCACCAAGTGTTACATAATTTAAGCGATGCTTTTATTATATGAATATTTTCTCCATATTTAACCAATTGTAACAAAAACGCTATTTTATTCCCCAACTATAATCATGCATGCTTACAGTCAACGCAAAAATTTCTGAAGAATGATCAGTATCAACATACGCCCCCCACGAATGATCAGTATCAACATACGCCCCCCACGTTTACAGCGGCATTGGGCAGGGTTTCAACGCCAGCATGCGGCCACGGAATAATCTGCTCTTGTACGTTCTGCAGATTCTCGCCTTGTGCCTGGGGTTATCATCGGATGGATGGTCACCGGAAAGCCTGCTGCCAGTGATTTTGTCACCCGACGCCAATCAGCGCAGTCCTGAATTCTGCTGCACAGATGAATTTTCCTGGATTCGGTGGCCAGCTCAAGTTTTGGTTTCCGGTGCTTTGAACTACACAGCCAAATCGACAGCGACAGGCGAGGCCTCGAGATACGCCCCCCACGTTTACAGCGGCATTGGGCAGGGTTTCACCGCCAGCATGCGGCCACGGAATAATCTGCTCTTGTACGTTCTGCAGGGTAGTAAAAAACATTCCTATTCCAAATGCACCACGAGTTTCCGGTGCCTGGTGGTGTTGCCTTGCCCAAGAGCCTTTTGTGATGGAGTGGCCGAGTGCTTTGATGCTGCGTGTATGTTGGTATTGCTTCTGAGTGGGGACATTGAAATGAACCCGGGCCCTAATGATTCTGCAATGCAGGAGCTACTTAAAGGTCAAAAAGAAATACTTGAGGTGATGGGAACAATTAGAAAGAAGCTCGACGACTACATTGCTCTTACGGATCAGAGGTTAGACTCAATTGAAAGTGAATTAAAATGCCTTGCCGGTAAAAGTGTACAATTTGAACGTTGTGAGAAAACAGTGGATCGAATATCGGCAGGCATTGTTGAGATGCAAGTGAAACTCGATGATCTTGAGAACAGAAGCAGACGTAATAATTTGGTTGTATATGGGTTGAAAGAAAGTACTGGTGAAACAACTGAATCACTTCGTAAAACTGTTCTTGACGATATTTTTACTGCTAAAATGGGTGTCACCTTAATGAGTGTTGAAAGAATTCACCGCATTGGAGCAAAGAAGCGGGGGAAGAACAGACCAGTCATTCTACGGCTTTACAACTTTCGAGAAAAAGCTGATCTCTACAAAAATGCACACAAATTGAAAGATTCTGGCTTATCAATCAGTGACGACTATTCCAAGCAGGTGCGCGAAAAAGAAAGCACTTATGGGAATATGCAAAATCAAAAAAAGCAGATGGTCACACAGTGAAACTTTCTTTTGATAAGCTTATCATTGACGGTAGGACTTACACTTGGGATAGCGTTGCGCAAGATGTCACAAAAGTAAGACGTTCGTGACGCGATAACAAAGAAGTGAGACAAAAGCCCCAAGGTGCCCGAGATATTGTCCTTCTGATGATGAATTGCCGAAGTGTTAAGAATAAAGCTGATGAGCTGGGTGGCCTTATTGGGTCAGTGAACGCTGACTTAGTCATTGGGTCAGAATCTTGGCTTGACGAAGCAGTTTCGAACTCTGAAATGTTTCCTTGCAATTTTCAAACATATCGAAAAGACCGGTCAACGCATGGTGGTGGTGTTTTCATTCTTGTGAAGGATTCTTTGATGTCCGAAGAAATTTTTATTGATAACAATGAAACTGAATCTGTTTGGTGCCGAGTAGTGCAAAGTAATCGTTCTAGTTTCATTGTTGGTGCTTTCTATCGGCCTCCTGTCTTTGAACCGAATGTTATGCGTCAGCTGAGAAAAATTGCCTGCACATTTTCTAAAGAATGTGTCGTTCTTGCTGGTGACTTTAATTTACCGGATGCTGAGTGGAATAACGGTAATTGTGTCTTAAAGTCTCAGGCAGCGACATACTGTGAATTGAAAACGTTGACTGACGTGCTCGGCCTCATGCAGTATGTTTCCAGTCCTACGCGAGGTGACAACATTCTGGATTTGTTGTTTTGTAATACCCCTGATGTCATTAATGAAACACACGTTATTCCCGGTATTAGTGATCACAACGCCGTCTTTGCAAAGCTGACAAGATCTCGGGTAAATACAAAGAAATGCGAATCTAGGAGAATCTTCTTTTATAGTAAAGCAAACTATCAGCAAATATCAGCTGGTCTTGAGCAACAATTTCTGTCTTTTGAATGCAGTGCAGACGAAGCAACTGTTGAGCAGCTATGGCAAGTGTTTAAGGAACGCATTACTGGGCTCATTCGGCGTCACGTCCCGAGCGTCTCAAGCGATAAACTGAGTAAAATTAAGAAACCTTGGATTAAGGGGCATCTTATTCAGCTTATCAAAAAGCGCAAGAGGGCTTTTTTCCCGATACTGCCAAAAAAAATCCCCTGAAAATTTTAATAAAATGAAAGATTTGACATCACTTTATAAAATGGAACTGAAAGAAACCAAGAAAAAGTATTTTAAGAGTCTGGCCGCTGACTTTTCTAATAAGAAAAGGTTTTGGAAATATATGAGACGATGTGGTACTGAGAAGGTTAGCCCACCAAACCTACGTTACGGTGGCGAGATTGTAATTGAGGATCGAGATAAAGCCACACTTTTTAACGACTTCTTTAAATCGGTCTTCCGCCCACCTACACAAGTGATTGTCACGAATAAAAAAGAACAATATTTGCCTATGGGTGAGATAGAGCTTTCATTCAATGGCATAATGAAGTTGTTACAGCGCATTGACGAAGGTAAAGCAACTGGCCCTGATGGCATATCACCAAGAGTTTTAAAACTTTGCTCTGAGGCAGTGGCTCGTTACCTTTATGTTATCTATAAAAAATCACTCGATGAAGGCAAGCTTCCTGATGATTGGAAAATAGCTAATGTTGTGCCAGTTTTCAAAAGTGGTTCTAAATCAGACGTATCAAATTACAGACCAATTTCTTTGACGCCGATTTGTTGTAAAGTACTTGAACATGTTCTTTTTTCTGCTTTAATGAATCACCTGACTTCAATTAAATTTTTTAATCCTAAACAACACGGATTTAGACAGGGTTTTTCATGCACAACCCAATTAATTGAATTCTATCATGATATAGCATCAGTTTTAGATAATCGAGGACAGATTGATTGTTTATTTTTAGACTTCAGAAAGGCTTTCGATACGGTATCACACTCTATTCTGATTCAAAAACTGCAGAACTTGAACATTCATCAAACCATTTGCCGTTGGATTGCGGACTATTTAACTTCAAGAAAACAAAAGGTTGTGCTTGGTGGATCTTGTTCGTGTTTAGCTTCGGTGACATCAGGGGTACCTCAGGGTTCCGTACTCGGTCCGCTTCTCTTCCTTGTGTTTATTAATGATATTTCGGATACAATTAGGTGTCGTATCAGAATGTTTGCTGACGACTGTGTGTTGTATACTGAATTGACCGACCAAACGGATTCCACCCAGCTTCAGGATGACCTTAATCACGTGGAGGCATGGTGTAAAAATAATGACATGGTATTAAACACGAATAAATGTGTTCACGTCAGTTTCACCAAAAAGGTTAATAGATTTACAAATCAGTACATATTAAACAATGAAGTTATTAGGTATGAACACAAATATAAGTATTTGGGTGTCACGCTTTCTGAGGATGGGGGATGGTCTGAGCACATTGGCAATGTTGTAAGTAGAGCGGGAAAAGCCCTAGGCTTTTTACAAAGAAATCTTAAACATGTAACCAAGGAGGTTAAACAGGCCGCATATTATGCCTATGTGAGACCAATACTAGAATACGCCTGTCCTGTGTGGGATCCGTTTAACAAAATACATATTCATGAATTAGAGCGCATTCAGTCGATGGCAGCAAGATTTGTTCTGGGAAAATATGGCCGAACTGAAAGCTCCCGTTGTATGAAAAGAGAACTTAATTGGCAATACTTACAAGATCGAAGACGTAATCTAAGATTAAAACTATTTTATTCGATATATAACAATAAAACGGGCATTAATGCTTCAGATTATTTAAAAAAAGCGTATTATCAATCCTCCCGTCATGATCACAAATTTAAAGTACGGCCATACAACCCCAGAACGGATCTTTTTAAGCATTCTTTTTTTCCGCAATCCATTGTTGAATGGAACACGTTACCAGCCGATGTAGTTGGCCGCAAGACTGCGGATTCATTTTATGAGGCTCTGTGCCCCCCGCAATAATGCCTAAGTGGCGCTGCGGGTTTTGTTTCAAATAAAAAAAAAAAAAAAAAAAATTTCTGCGTATTTCATTAATCATGTATAGTTGTTGTGTATTGTGTGGCTTTGTTTTAGCTGACACATTTATATCAATGGGAAAGGGCGCCCACATTATATTTATCTCAAGCTGTTAGCCAAGGAGGCAGAAATATAGGTCTTGGCATACCCGAGTTGAATGATGTGAAAAATGTGCTGGGGGTCTTGCCTGCTGTATAATGCACTGGGACATAATTCCTGCGTATGAAAAAAGAGCATTTATTGCCAAACGTATTACACTGCTTATAATATTTACGAGTATTTATATATTCATATACACATATCTATAACGTTGGGTGAGAAAACTCGACATTACAAACTTCTAGACACATTTCGAGCACTAAAAAAATCATTCGTTTCAGGTGGTGACTGAGGCTTAGCACAGGAACCCTTCCATATGCACTCCTATGTCTCAAGAAAGCATGTTCTAGCGGTAATCATTCCCGCAGGAAAAAAATTCCCCACACCAGGCACCTGGGAATCGACATTATGCGAAGAATGCGGAAAGAAGGTGGTCATGTTACGATTCTTTTTATCGAGCGACACGCCATGAACTGACGCTAAATATATGTACAAATTTTGCACGTACAGAAATATGTCGCAGACTTCCAGATGTTTACATAACCAGTTATTTGCATTTGCGCAACGATGTCATCTATACCATGCGTATAAGCAACACCAGAAGCTGATGATGCGCTGATGCTCGCAAGGATGCTGCTCCTGGACACTGCTACACAATTAAACTTCGGCGCATGGTAACTAACCACAATTGACGTTAACCTGACGTAACGGCTGTGTTAAAGGTGTACAGATGTGATGCTTGTACAAGGTAGGCAGCACTGCCGCCACTATTGACGTTTCACGAGGATTAGCGTATATTTCAAAAGTAGTTCTGACACTTGGCGTAGCTCTGTGAAAAAATGCTTTGTTGCCACGCAGAATGCTCGGGTTCAATTCCAGCCTGGATCCTGACATTTACTCTTTGCATTTGTTGGGTCGACGCTACCGATGTCGTGTATTTTGTTACGCTCACGCGTTAAAATTATTCGTGTGTGTTCTCGTTGCTTTTGGGTAGATACTAAGAGTAAATCACTTGTGGCGCATACCGGCATACCAGCGGCACAGACCCGCCCGTGGCACATACCACCTTGCCCTCCCATGCTATTTTTGGTTCACGCCAAGCTAAGGGGTTGACTACGAGAGCACACAAACGTGCGCGGCTAGATAGATAGATACGCTCTAAGTCGCCGGAGTTCACGAAGAAATGCTTCGCATTTAATAACACGGAACGCTGCCTGCGATCTGATCCGATAAAAGGGATTTCTGTAACGTTACTTTCGGCGATACGCCAGTTTCCGAACGAACCGTTAAAGGGCCACTCACCAGGTACGACAATTTTGAGCTGACAAGTGCAATGGGTAGGCGAGGCGTTCTTGATCACGTCTGCCAAACTTTGCAACGCTACACGCCACGGTTATCTGTAAAATTTCAAGATGAAAGTTGCTCCCCGTCGCCTCTGCCGGCGCACGCGTAGAGAATGAGAGCATGACGTAGGCGTAGGAATGCCCTACGTACACGGCAATGCAGTGACGTTGGTCCTCTACGTAGATGAGTCTGCTATGACGTTGTCAACAGTATACCACATGACATGGCAAAAATTATTTAACACAGCATACGTAAATTATGTATTCATTGCTTTAGGAAATGAATAAAACTTCAAATAAATAGTGAGACGTAAGAAAAATTATGCGCATTTTTTTTTTCATTTTTTTCTGTGAAATGCTACGAGATGTGGGGCTAATGTGCCAGCTTTGCGCATGCATTCGTGTCCACGCGGTCAGCGCATTGAGCAGACGACCGCCGTAGAACGCTCCTACGCGTTCACGCACTCATTGTGCTCATGTACTCTACAGCATCTAAGCCAGCGTTTTTAAACCATCCCGCAGAAACAGGCAGAAGGCCTAAAAATAACGCTGGTCGACAAAGCAACGCTGCTTGCGTGCTCGGGTGCTGGGCTTGTTCGGCACGTCATTGGCACGTCGCCTCTTGGTCGCATGCCGGAGAGGGTGGGGAAGACATTTGGCTTGGAAAGGCTACGTGGAGGAGCGGCAAGGGTTTCAAGCTCGCTTCCTGTCACCCTCGTTTCGTGCCTATTCAAAAAACCTGTTTTTTTCAGTCGTAATGAACCAATTCGAGAATTTTTTGTGGCAAAACGTTCCTCATTGGACACCCAACAACTTTCACTGTCTAACTAAAATTCGGTATGGGGCCTGGTGAGTGGCTCTTTAAAGTGGCAGTCTGCGAATAGAGGTACTTCTCTGTCATGGCAACCATCTGACGCTAGGCTTTTTCTGAAAGGTCACGTCTCCAAGCAAGCTGTTTGGTTACCTCCACGAGACCATGTGCTTTCATCCAGTATTTTATTGAGCCATTTATCTTCCTTTTCAGGTAAGTCATAAGGAGAACATTACAAAAGTACTTATACGGATTAGATAGATACATAAAAATCACAGCATACGCACGGAGTGAATGATGATGAGTGGGGTGAAACGTCCGTCCGTGTGTCCAAGCGTTCGTCAAATCACCGGCTCTTGCATCCGTCCGTCTGTCTGTCCATCCATCCGTCCATGCTTCATCTATCCACACGCGCATCCGTGGTTCTTTCTGTCCGTCCGTCTGTCGTAATCCGTGCTCCGATCTTTCTGTTTACGCTATCCCGAGCGCGGATTGTGGCGATGTGTATATCAGTGAAAGTGGTGATATTGAACAGCGCCTCAAACAGCACATTTACGACGTTAAAAAAAGAAGTGTTAAGGAGGTGGTCACACAATCTATTAGGTGAAGGCACGTGTTCTCGCTAGAGAAAAAGAACTGTCATGGCGTCTTTATCTTGAGTCACTCGTGATACGAACCACTCCGTGCACTTTAAACAGGAGCGATGGTAATCTGCCGTCAGTATATGCGCGATGCCTGCGTGATATATTGAAACATACATAAGGCGAACTGCTCTAACATGTTTTCATTTACTGTGAACAAGGCTTCCGTGTGGGAGCCGACACAGCTTTTTTCTGCGTTTTTGTTTATTTTTAAACTTTTACTTTGGTTGGCGCAGTGCCTCCAGGTTTCTTACCTTCAACTATATCTATTTCTGCTCATTCCTCCGTGCGTCCATTCGGCTGTCAGTCTGTGCGTGAGTCGCTTTGTCTGTCAGTCCGTATGTCCATTTGGTCGTACATCTGTGGGTCTGTCCATGTGCCCATCAGTACGACTGTCCTTTTGTCTATTCGTTCGTGCGTCCATGCTTCTGTTCATTCACCCATCTGGACGCTCGAATGCACTGACCTACGCTTCGCCTCATTCATAATCACTCACTCCGGAAATGTGCCGTGATTTTAGCAGCGAAGCTCTTCAAGGCGTAGGCTGAGTGTCCCGGCATAATCGTATGTAGCCACCTCTTAGTAGTTCTAGATCCGGCCACAGGCGGCGGTACTTGTACATATAACGAAATGCATATAAGCTGAAAAATGCATATTGCATGGTACTAGAGAATGTTACTTGTAGTATGATGAATAATAAAAATCATAGACCTCTATGGAGTGAATGATGATGAATGGGGTGAAGCGTCCCTTATTCGGTCCGCGCTTCCGACCATCCGGTCAATCTGCTTCCGTCCGCCGTGCGTCCATTTCTTCATCCATGCATCCGTTCATTCGTGCATTCATCCTTGCGTCCATCCTCTCGTGCGCCCATCCGTGCCTCCATCTGTGCGTCCGCCCATCCATCCATTCATGCGTCTGTCTCCGTGTTTGTTCATGCGTCCGTCTGTCCGTCCATCCGTGCGTCAAACAGACAGCCGACGAACGGACGCTGCTGGCGGATTATTCATGGTTTGCCGTTTAATATTGTCCCCGGATCTGCATGTTACACTGCAAATGTCGCCGCGAGACGATAGTCTTGCGTCTGAAGAAAGTGAACAAAACGTTTATTTGATGTTCTACGCAAGAAAATTGGTGAATGGTATTCTGGAAGCGCTGCGCTAGAGTGCAACGAGTGTGCACGCTCCCGATCAACGAGTGTGCACGCTCCCGATCGACTGCGCAGATAAGTGTTTTTGCAAATTTTAAGCTTGTCTTTATAATTATAAGGCAGCAGTTGAAATCTTCGTAGCACTCATTTTATGGTATGGCTTTTTCGGGGGCCAGTCACCAGGTATCTATTAGTTAGTGCGTGTGTGTGTGTTTGAAGTTTTTGTTGTTTTTTTTCTTTTGCCACCCCGTGGGGGAGGTGCACGTACATTGAAGACGCAAATTTTTAAAGTAGAGCTTAGACTTTCTTTTTTTCGTAGTGCAGGGCTCGAGTTTAGTAATTATCGAGTATAAGGACAATTGGTGTCAGAAAGACATGGTTAAAAAGTCTGTGAAGTGTTCAGGATGTGGAGTGGGTTTGAAAGTGGACCCAAGTGTAGAAGCGGATGGAGAAGAGGCTGACGCGAAGTGTAGGCAATTTGAGGTCGAGGAAAAAATATAGAAAATGAAGGTTGCCCGGAGTGAACTGCTGATGATAATCGCCGAGCTCGAGACTGCGTTGGCGACAGAGCAAGAGAAAACGATGGCAAAGGGAGAAAGGCTGAAGTCCGCCGAGAAAGCACTAGCGAAACTGAACAAAGGAGCCGCCTACGGATAGAACATTTGGAAACCGGCAACCAGAACGGCGGGGAAGAAAAAGCAAGCAAGTTTGGAAAAAACAGGTTCAGCCGGTTCAATCGTCGCAAGGCCCAGCTTCAGCGAGGTAGTGGTGGCACTGGGAGGGGACAAAGTAGCCGGCATCGCAAGTGCAAGTAGCCTCCAGGTGCAGGACGCTCCAGCTGAAAAGTCACAGCATGTGATAATCGCCGGGGATTCGAATTTAAATCGATGTACAGAAGCCATCAAAGAGAGGGTAAGAGGTGACAAGAGGGTTGCAGTAGGGGCGTTTCCAGGGCGCAAGCTGGAAGCAGTCATAAGGCAAGCGGGCGCAAAACTCAAAACTACAGCTGATAGACGAAACCTCGTGATGATTTCAGGCGGTTTAAATGATGTCTTAAATGAAGATACAGCAGGACTAGCAACCACACTGGTGAAAGGCGTCGATGACATGCGCGCCACTTCTCCTCAGGTACAGGTAGTGATATGCACGATACCGGAGATACCGGTGCGTGA